CAAAGATACGTTATAAAAGTTGCCCACTTGGATATATTTAGATTTAATTAATTGTTTAAAAATTTTATAGATCTATCTACTTTGTCTGATATTTCTTTCTAGCCCACTGGAACCATGCACAGCAATGTAAAGGTGGTGCGCAAGGGACCTCAATATCAGGGGGCGCATTCGCCCAGGGCGCTGCTTTTCCTTTGCACGGTTGTGCATCCATTACGGACGTAACGCGGATAGAATTTTGAGGGAGGGGGTTATGTGAAAAATGTTGGTTAAAACTTTAAATAAAATTGTCAATTTCCTTTCTTAAAATTTGTGACAGTTTCGATTTCTTTCTCAGTAAATAGCTGGTGATTTACTAAGACTAAGAGGCAAAAAGCGGGAAAGTAATGAAATATATGTCAGTAGCGAAATAAACACAATTGCAAACAGATGACTAACAAAGCAACTTGGCTCCATCCAGATACATAAAATCACTAACACTGCCTCTCATTTTACTCACCACAAACCAGAGTCAACTTAGGTGGCATCTAAATAATTAAGTTCCATCTATCAAATTAGAGCTGACCAACCACAGACCATTTAAATAGCTTATTTGCCTACTATGACTCACAATTATCGAGAAAAAGTCAATCCACTTCTTCTTCTTCTATATCTTAAGGGCCCACGATCAATTTATTGATCATTTTGGCTCATATGCATGTAGATGGGATTTGCAATGTTTCTGTTACTGGTGTTGATGAGGAAATCATGCACTAGGGGTTTGAAGGCTTGGGGCAATAGACACAAATGTGTCTAGTGTTGTCGCCTCAACCGTTCCTTTTTGTCTTGGGCAGGAATGAGCAGCTCCTATACTGGCTTCTTGCTGGTATGAGCCTGAATTGCCTGTCATGGCCTCGTCGCTGTCTATGGGGGAGAGGGACGAGTTTCTGTTTAATACTGGAACAGTGCACCAACCCATTATTTATCTTGTACATCATGGAGAGCCTGGATTGTCGTCGTCGTTTCTCCAATGGTGACCAGCCTAGTGTTTCTAGCATGCTGCCAACACTAGAGGTATTCCTGTATCTTGCATAGGAAGGGGGCTGTGGAGAGGGTGGTCCACACAGGTGCCACTTTAAAAAAAAATTATAATGAAGGGCTGCATTTTTGGCGAGCTGAAGAGATTTTTTTTTTTTTTTTAAACTTATTGGTAGTGGGTGGCACAACTTTCGAGTGAACATATCGCAACATAACCCCTGGTCCGCTCGTAACGTTTCCCAGATCTGCTCATTATGAGGACACGTTACACATCACCTAACGCTTGGACATTGGTCGCTCTCTGTTGTTGGTGGAATTCTATTACGTAGCCGAGTCTCTCGCTTCGCACCTTTTTTTTGCCCATGCGCCGTTTCCCAAGTAATTCTCTGATACACTAAAGTAATACGTCGGCATAACTAGAGCGACGTGGCCTCAACGGCTTTGCCATGTTTCTTTTTAGTAAGGCTGTGGGCAGCAATGCAGTCGCCGCGGCTTACCCGTGTATAGGTTTACTTTAAGCAGATTTCTGATCGTTAATGCTGCATAAACTTTATGGTTTGTGTCCGTTGCGGTGGCCGCGCAAATGAACGCAGGACAAGTAAACCCACAATTCACCATAACACATCCAAACACAGGACTAGTGAACCAACGGACAAGTTAACACGCAGAAAAGTGAATACCGGTATATAGAACATAGACAGCTGAACCCAACAACTGGGTTTGAAAAGGCCTTGCTGAGATAAACGTCATTCTTGACTTGTTCTTGTAAATTTATGTTCACTGCTGATTCGCAATGATTGGTTCCGAAAGATTTCAGCTACTTTTATAAATATGTAAATGTTTTTAATGTGCTGAAAATTATTTTACAAAATTGTGTAAATAAACATTTTTATTATATTTCTTGGGCAGATTTTTGTTTCCTAAACTGAGTCTATTGATTTCGTATTAAAAAAAACATTAACATGTTCTACAATATTGTTTAACATTTGTAAAAAATATCTAGAAAATTCTTATCTTTTATGATAATTTCACATTGATATGCTTTAAATTTCATTTTATTTGACTCCTATATATCTAATATTGCTTAATTGAATTTTGTTCTCTTTTTAAAGTGGTCCACTCAGGATTTTCCATTTATCTCTGACGTCAAATGTATTATGAGGAAAAATATTATTACCACTTACTTCAAAATTTGCAAGGTTTTTTTCTATTATATTCTCTACATAATGATTGATGTTTTTTTTTTATTACATGTCTCATAAACAACATTCCGAAGTTTTTATGATCCTATTATTTTTATTAGGCTCGAGGCTAGTGGGTTGTTGGGAAAATGCATTCATTTATTTTCTATCAATTATATTTATGTACTTAAATTGTTTTTTTTTTAAATTAACGAGTGGAATGTGTTCATGATGTATGCATACAATGTTGTTCAAGTAGCCTTTAATTTTTTTAATAAGCATTTGTCAGTGTCTCTTTCAGCTTTTATCCATATAGCATTTTCATGTTTTTTCTGACGCAAATTGATGAATCAGGAGGAATAGTTTTGGAACTACATAATTGAAACTTTTTATGCTTATTTATATTGACATTCTCTACTTAATGATGGATGGTTTTTAAACAAATATCTCAAAGGAAAATTTTTCAGAATTTTTTTATTTATATATATATTTTTTAATTAGGTTCGTGTGTTAATTTTTTTCTTCTATCTTTTCTGTCTTAGTTTTCTAATTGTTTTTTAATTCATGAATGGTACATGTACATGGTTTATGCATCCTATATCGTTCATGCAGACCTCTAATTTAAAAAAAAACACAATTTTATACTTTTTTTCATTTTTCTCAATTTTGCATTTTCCGGATTTTTTAGGAACGCCAAATGAATTGGGAGGAAAAGTATTCTAGCTACAGCCTTCAAACATTGCATGCTTCTTTTCATTGATATTCTTTACAAGATTCAAGAGGCATTTTTATATATATACCGGGTATATCCAACTAGAAAAGTTTTATAACATTTTTACATTTGCTACTCCTGAAGAGTTCTCGAATATTTATGTGACCCCCAGATACATGCCATTTGTAACAATACAGTACAATAAGTTACATATAATGCAATACAAATTTGTCTTTATTCATTTTGCGTAAAAGTCAAAATTGGTATAAAATGTTTAATTTTTTTGCAATAAAAGTCACAACAAATTAAAAAAAAAAAAACTTTAGTGGATTTTTGTCTTTCTGTTTGTGTATGGTTTGTATGTACTATATTTTTTTTCAATGGCTCTATTTATTTAGGGTTATCAGTATTTTATTTTCAATGTGCCATGACTTAGTTGCCTTGAAACCAAACTCCCTTCACAGATCACATTTATTTGCTCCCACTCAAAAATTACATCTGTACTTAAATGAAGAAATGATACAAACAATAGTTAACTGTACGGTTACCAACAAGGAATGTGAGAAAGTAAAAGGAGACAAATGGCAAAGGAATGATGTGACCTAATTGAATGAGTTTATTGGCTGCCTTACTGGCCCCTAATTTATTTTATGGATTACTTGAGTACACAACTCAAATAACTAACAACCAAACAAAAATGTTCTCAAGTCAAAAAGGTTTTGTTTTTCTATTAAATTTTAAATTATGTACCAGTGTGTTAGACCCAGTAGACAGCTATGGTAAAAAAAAAGACGAGTCCTCCAAAAATAAGTCTCTTTCTCATGCTTTATGCAATGGCATCTTTTAACTTTTCATTAAATGTTCATTGCAACTACCTTATGAATTAGGTCAAGTCAAATAGGCCAAGCTCTCTAGAGGAATAGTTGAAATTAATTCATTATGAATGAAATTTTCATTATTTAGAATACCTAATTAATTTATAAAGTACTGTGCGATTAAATCTTTTAACTTAAATAATACACATGAATAATCTTAAATAAAGGATTTAATTTTAATAATTAAATTTAAATTATTACTTTTCTAAAATTCAAATAAAAACAATAAATGTATCTAAATCATCTTCATTACTAGATTTTTAAAAAAAATGATCTACAAAAATGGCTTAAACTAAAAAAGAAAATAAGAAAGAAAAAAAAATCTACCCGTCCTAAGAAAAATTAATAAAGCAAAAATAAAAAAAATAAAAAGAATAAAACTATGAATCTATGAAATAACAAGGAGAAAAAACAATTTAAAAAAAATAATTCTCATACTACCATCAGTATTATTGTTATCACACCCGGCTCCGAAGCCATTTAATCTGAACGGAGCCACTCCGGGGGCGAATAGTGATTGACAACTATAGATACCCGTGTACCTATAGATGCAGCCTTCTTTAAATCTTAGGGTACTGACTGTGCCCCGCCCATTAAAAAAAAAACACCAAAAAAACACACATAGGAGCGTGATTTCGGGAATAGGAGAAAAAGATAATTCATAAGTATAATTATTATTTAATTTTTTTTTTTTGTTGCTGTTGTAGTTTTAAGTTTAATATATGATTAAAATTATGATGAAATAAATGTCTGGAGTAGAAATTAAATTATTCAGTATTTTAGGTTAATGAGTAAAATATAACCATTAATCTAGTGCCCTTGAAGTTGAAGTACCTTCTTCATCACTCATGGTCCTTTGGCTATTTGAGAGTAACTGAACAATTTAAACGATGCGCATTTCGAAAGACATTTAATTTTAATAATTTTAGGCGCTTAAGTATTTAGACATATATAGGGAAGTAGGTGTCTGTCACGTGTGGGGGTGGGGTTGTAGGGGTGGGTGGGGTGGGGGGGGGACCACACTCTTTCGGGCGCGATAGGGCGACTTTACTTTAAAAAGATGGATAATATTAATGTCATTAAAAACGAGTGGCTTATATTTTCTTTATATTGTGTAACAGTTTCAGAAACCCACATTAATTATTAAATTAACTTTTAGTTGTTTTCCCAGTAATAGCTGGTGATTTCATGGGTAGACCCCACTTGACCTATCAGTAAGCCACGGCTACGGGCGTTGCTTCTGTGACAAGCTGGTGAGGGCTGTGGACTTGAAGCTGAATAAAATATGAAATTTTGATCCTTTAACTTTATTAAATAATCCATGACTCTTTCAATGTAAATGCATAAGTCAAGCTTTAAATAGTTACAGAAATATTAAAATTAACTAAATTGTTATTTTTCGTGGGGATAATAGTTTAGTTTAGCGAACGCAAAATAATTCTCTCTAGTTTTGGTTTCTTTCACTATTTTTTTTGAGTTTGTAATTTGTAACAGTATCGCTATGAAAGCTCCAGGAAATTAAAAAGTTGCGACAAGGAAATCGCAAACAGAGGCGCAAATATGAGTCTCTCGTTGAGGTAAGAAAGCTAAGTGATACTTTTTGTATAATTATATGCCGGCCTTTTCTGTTTAACACTCGAAAATTAAATAGATATTCTCTTACTAAATCCCCAAAGTTAAATGTTTAAGTAGGCCTAATTAATAATAGTTCGGTCAATATAATTGGAGATCAAAAACGTGTTGTTCGCTTGATTTTTATTTTGTTACATGTTGAAACATGAATCTAAATTCTTGCTACTAAATCAGTATCACTAACATTCTAAGACAGTGGACAGAGATTGATTTAACTAAGAATAAGATTTATTGACTAAGAAAAAAGACTAAGATGAACTAAGGAAAGTTGAAGTTGAAAGACCAGTTCTAAATCTAATAAATAATAATAATAAAATTAAAAGTCAAAAGAACATATTTAGGCCCTAATTTTTGGTTAATCAATTTTAATAATTTTATCCGGTCAATATATGGACTACTATTAATTAACCTGGTTTAATTTTAAGAAAAGAGCATTGACACTTAATGATTTATAATTATTTAAAATTTAGATTTGTTTACAACAAAACCACAAATGCTTGATAAAAAAAAGTCTGAAATATATTTTTTTGTTGCAGAGCAGAGTTTGCCTTGGATAAGAACAAAAAGAAGAAGAAGCGTGAATTAGCTGATGAGCAGAAGCAAGAAATTAGAGAAGCATTTGATTTATTTGATACAGATAAGGACAGGGCTATTGATTACCATGAGCTGAAGGTATATTTTATTAATGAAGTGTCACAGTCGAGAATTATTTATTTGTTTAGACAGATCCATCATTTCTTTACACAAATGTTGCTTCTTGTTTACTCAAAAGAGTTTAAGCTCCATAATGCACTGGTCTATCTGGTGATCATGTTTGTCTCTCAGTCAATAGGTGTTGGTTTCAAAACAGTCTGCCCCAACCCCAGCTGTACACATTCATTTTTATTATAATTATAGTTATATCTGGAAAAGTCAGCTCACCAAAAATTAATAAATCAAGGTATATAATTATGTATCTGGCATCCTTCCATCTTCATGAGATGATTGATGGATTAGCTATTGACACATCATCAAATTGTTTACGAGCCCGATGTACTGGAATAGCAGTCTCGGCTGCACTTCTTGCAGGAGAATCTTGACTTGTGGTTAACTTTGGCCTTCAATAATGTTCTTTTTGTTGCAAGGGCTTTGTTTCTTGCATCCTCTGCATGTTTTACACCCTCACACACTGCTGTTCGCCAGCCAGAGCGGTGCTCAGTGATAATCTCCCATTCGTTGATTTCTATGTTGGATTCCCTCATGTTCATTTCGCAAACTTCCTTAAATGGCAGCTGTTTAATAAGTCTTGCCCCCAACTGCCAACTTTCTGCACAGCAGGTTCCTTGGACTGCTGCCTTCCTCCATTCTCCTTACATGGCCTAGCCAGTGAAGATTTCTCATGCTAAAAGCGGACAACAATTTACATATTTTGTTTGGCATGTTCCAAAACTTATGTGTTAGTCACCTTGTCCTGCCATTGAATTTGCAAAATGCGGCACAGACATATTTGGTGGAAGTTTCCGCTCATGTCTGACATGTGTAGTCCACACTTCACTGTGTGTGGGATAGCCAATTTTGTGCAAGATACTGAACAGGCCACTCTGTGAAAGCAATGTGAAGAGGCCTATACTGTGCATGACACTTCTCATGCAAAAATAGAAGAAAAATCTTTGCCTGCATTTTCCAGTAGGATAATTTGACCATGTCTATGTGAGATATCTGTAGCACAATGTGTCAAATGAAACTTCCTTTTTTAATTATTTTATATTTATGCCTTATTCAAGAAATCGCTTAGGCATGTTTTTCCATACCACTACTGCCTTTACATTTGATCCTTAAAGGAAAATAGAAAGTAAAATATTTGTATCACTTTCACTCCACCTTTCATCGCCCCTGTTCAAACCTGCACATAATTTAGATGTCACAAAGAAACATTTAAGCGATGAAGATTTAGTGTTAGTTATCATGTTGTCATCCCCTGTACATTTGAACTACTGTGTTTGTATGCACTGGTTGAACTGTGTCATACATTGTCCTTAAATAGGTTGCAATGCGAGCTCTGGGCTTTGATGTAAAGAAAGCAGACGTGTTGAAGATTTTAAGGGATTACGACAGGGAAGGAAGTGGGAAGATATCTTTTGATGATTTCAGTGAAGTCAGTAAGTATGGTGAAATGTATGACTAAACTCTGAAGAAACTTTACATGCCTTGATATCGCTATGTATTTTAAACAAGCTTTTGTTGAGATGCTCCAAACTTAAATATTTGAAATTTTGCTTCTTTCACTTTACCTTTCCAAAATTTTAGAGGGAGACTTAAATACCTTTTATAAAACATGAGAACCTTATCTAATTATTTTTTTGGCATAATTATTACCTTACTAAAAATGATCTTCCCATGAAAAAAGTCTGAATAACCTAATTTTAAAAAAGTAAGCTTTAGCTACTATATATCTAAATGAAGAAATGGTTTTTTATTGAATATACTTGCAATTTAAATGATACATTTGTACTTTTTTTCCTTGACCAGTGACAGATATGATGCTTGACCGTGACCCCCAAGAAGAAATCTTAAAAGCCTTTAAGCTGTTTGATGATGACACATCAGGAAAAATAAGTCTGCGCAATCTCAGGAGAGTAGCCAGGTATTTCCAGGTCTTTCGCTCAGTGACTGTAGCACATCAGGGCTGTTTCAGTGACTGCAGCGAAGCAGGGCTATATAAGTGATTCTCGCACAGCAGGGCTATCTAAGTGACTGTAGCACAGCATGGCCATTTACGTGACTGTAGCACAGTAGGGGCTATTTAAGCTTAGCACATTCAATGTCATTGAAAATCAAAATAACACTGTCATGAAGTGATTGAATTTGAAACCACTAAAGATGTCCAAACCATAATGAAACTAAGACATACAATTTTTTTCCTAATACTCACATGTTTTAAATGTGGGATCTGGTATAACTAGGTTTTGGTGTCATAGCCCTGTGACAATATTCTGATGTTAACATTCTAATCTAGTTTTGGGGGGGGGGGGGGGGTCGTCTTTGCACTATCATTTTCTAAACTGTCACTTAACCCCAAAAACAATACATACTGGTAAACCTGTGAAATTGTATCAGAGACAGAAACTTTTAATTTTAAATGAGTCAAAATTGCCAACTGTATCATTACATCCATTTTGGGATAAAGAACCGTGAAAATCAAGAACTGTTTGAAATATAAAGTATAAAAATGCATGAATTTTAAAATAATTGCCACAAAGTTGCTTCACTCTGAACACACAATGAAAAAAAAACTGTTCAAAAGCTCTTGAATTTAGTTAACTTTTTTAAAGACTTATTTCCCTTTTGTTTGCTAATATTTGGGCTAGTATATTTGTATGATGTAATACTTCACAGGGAACTAGGAGAGAATATGACAGATGAAGAGCTGAGAGCAATGATAGATGAATTTGACAGGGATGGAGATGGAGAGAGTGAGTACAAAATTAAATAAAGAAATTATATTGATTAATTAAACAAAGATTATTCAACTATGGAGCTTGTTACCCTTTGCAATGTGAGAAACTGGCACCCCTGGTGGGTGTGAGGAACCCAACTGGTAGAGAAAGGCCGAAAGTGATTTTCTGATTTTGGCCAAAAACAAAACCCGACCGAAAGTGAAAAATGATTTTCGTTTTAAACCGGAGCCGAAACCAAAAGCTTAACGAAACATTTAAATATTTTGAAACTCGTTTGCAGATATGTTCTGTTTTCATCACAAATGATGGGGGAAAGTATCAATTTTTCATCAAAAATTAGATTATCGTGAATTTTAATAGATAAACATCTAATTAATAATTTAAAGTTGTTAAATATATATTTTAAATTAGTATGGTAAGAGAAAAGTTTGACTGGGAAAGGGGTCAAATTCATGCCCTTTGCTTTTATAATATAATTACAATGCTATCTAGACATATTTGGTACGGATCCAAAGCTTAGCCTATGCATTTTTTATTGGTATGGCCTTCTAAAATGTCCAGACATAAGCCTTGAAAAAAGAGCACAGATTCAACGCTTATGATAACCTTAAAATCATCTATGCAATGTGAACATCCGTCAATGTAGCCAAATTTGAATTCCAGAAGTGATTAGATCAGGGGTCTCAAACTCAAATCATCCAGGAGCCGTAGGAGTTACAGTTTGAGTGAGACTGGGCTCCATCAAGTATTCCACAAAACAGCGATTACAAATTCATTAAAGTACAACTGTTACAATCTTATCAATCTTTATTGATAACACATAAAAACATTAAGGGTTCTCAAGAACTAGGCTTCACTTTCTTCTTCCTTCTCTTTGTTGCCAGAGACCTGGCAGCACTTCCTCTTACACAGCTGAGCAACATTTAGCTTGAGTGAGTAAGCAAATGAGACCATCATTATAGCTTGAAGATGCTCATCAGTAAGTTTGGCCCTAAACTTTGACTTGTTTAAGCTCATAGTGGAAAAAAGCTTTTTTTGAGTGGAAACATTGGACAAGTAGGTCATCAGGCAGCTGTGAGCAGTTTTTGCAGAGAATTAGTCATATATCATATGATGACAGCAAGACATTGAGCAATAATAAATATCAGTTGCAGACAGAGTGACATTCTGACTTCTGGTAGACAACTCAAAACCGTAATCAATTTCGGTCAGATAACCAAGAGCCTCAATCACTTTCAGCCGAAACCAAAAATAGGCCAAAAGTTAACTTTTCTGCTTCAACTGAAACCCAAAATAAACCGAAAGTTAACTTTTCTGTTTCTTCTGAAACCGAAACTAAGCTAACTAAGCTAAAAGTGATAAAAAAGGCAACTTCCTGCGCCGAAACAGAAGCTGAAATTCGGTTGGTCTCTACCCACTGGTGAGGGGTTGAGGAAATTCAAAACAATTGTTTTCACATACTTTAATAGAGCTAAATGTGTTGATTGGCTGAGTAACTCTGATATAATAAGGATGAGAACGGCAGTCTGTGCAATAAAATTGTTTATAATCGTTATCGGATAAATTAAGCGAATCTTTAAATTGTTCTCTTACCATCTAAAAACAAAAATAAATAATTAGATATAGTCATTTTTGCCACCAGCAACTTTGCAGTTAATATTTTTCCTTCTTTTTATTTCAGTAAATGAAGAAGAATTCATTGCCATAATGACAGGAGATACATGAATGGACACCGGTGTTTGTCCATCATTTCCTTTATTTTATTACCCTGTAGTTGTGCGCACAATACATTTTAAATTTGATAGAAAAACATGAAGATCAATTTAACCACCAGGCTCTCAGATGTTGACAGGCACTGAGGAGGAATCCATAAAGGCATAAACTGCGTACAAAGTGCAAATGTAAAGATTTTTATTTCCTGGTCGTTCACTGTCTGACCGGTCACCATCGTCTGCGAGACGAAGGGTGTGCTTTAAAGAGTTTTAAATGATGTTGAATGATGTCATGTGGCCGACATGTGTCATGACTCATATGTCATGTGTTTGGGTGTCCATGACATATTTTGTGAAGTTCTGTACTTATTGTGTGTGTGTATATATGAATTATAATGAATGCACTTCAAGACATTATTAAAATATATATGTATATTCTTGTATTAAACAGACTTGTGACACCTGTTAAAATAACACTTGGCTGGTTTGTTGGGCCCCTCCATAAAGGAGATAAAAACAAATCTCCCAATCTCATCCCTACCTGTCTCTCATCAAACCCCCCCCCCCCACCCCCTGTCTCCCATCAAAGGGACTGACCGTCTTTTAGCTCAGCTTACCAAATCCCCCCTGTGGCCCTCTGTTTATTTCATTTAAAAAAACACTTGGCTGGTTTGTTGGGCCCCCCCAAAAAGGGGAAAAAAACAAATCTCCCCATCTCCTCCCCACCTGTCCCTCATCAAACCCCCCCCCCCCCACCCCCTGTCTCCCATCAAAGGGACTGACCGTCTTTTAGCTCAGCTTACCAAATCCCCCCTGTGGCCCTCTGTTTATTTCAGCCTCTGCCCTGCTGTTTATTTCACCGTCTGCCCTGCTGTTTATTTCACTCTCTGCCCCACTGCTTATTTCACCCTCTGCCCCGCTGTTTATTTCACCCTCTGCCCCGCTGTTTATTTCACCCTCTGCCCCGCTGTTTATTTCACCCTCTGCCCCGCTGTATATTTCACCCTCTGCCCCACTGTTTAGTTCACCCTCTGCCCTGCTGTTTATTTCACCCTCTGCCCTGCTGTTTATTTCACCCTCTGCCCGCATGCCCCCATAATCTTTATACTACATTTATAGGTATAAATATATATATATATATGTATAGTTAAAGTAAAACAGCTTAAAATAATATTTCCAGTAAACATAAAAATATAAGCACTCTGCAACATATTAAAAAAAATAATATTTTCTAGAAGTGCCACAGGGTTTCTCAAAGTGGTGGACCCAGCTGCAGAAGGTGAAACTTTAAAAAAAAAAAAAACCCACAGAAGTAATATCGTCTTACAGTAAATTATTTTAAAAAAAATAATATTTTCTAGAAGTGCCACAGGGTTTCTCAAAGTGGTGGACCCAGCTGCAGAAGGTGAAACTTTAAAAAAAAAAAAAACCCACAGAAGTAATATCGTCTTACGGTAAATTATTATTCTTTTGCAGTACCGGTACATGACATAAGTACGCCATTGAGCTGTACTTGGGAATAATGCTATCGTCAATTGAAGCCTAACCCAAAACTTCTCGTATGTTAAGCACATGGCTCTCAAGTCAAGGCATTAATCTTTTAAAAATGAAGTGCGGGAACCAATTCAGATCCACATTTTTTGTTGTTGTTTAGTTTCTGAAAGATGGCGGAGTTTCTTGTGATGTAGGCTGATCAGAAGTAGGGGTCGCAAAACCGGTTCCTTTTGCCAAAACCGGTATTTTCGATATTGAAGTTTACGAATACCGGAATCCCGGTATTTTCGCTATTGAAGTTTACGAATACCGGAATCCTGGTATTTTCGATATTTAGAGAATTTTTAGTCGAGATTAGAGGTGAGGATTTATCAGGGCCGGCGCTAGGAGGGTGCGGGTCTTGGGCAAATTGAATTTTGCGGGGCCGTTGACGTTATGTTTTCTGTCGAAAGGATGTTAAGACACGTTACAGACATTTGACTATCGCATAACTCCGAATATTGTGTTGACTGGATTAGGAACTATTAGTAGGCTTAGGTATATTATAAATATACTACGGCAACGCGCGGCCCACTTCGCCGCCCCTCTAGCAGCGGCCCTGGATTTATCAATGAAAGAAAAACATTCAGAAAAAAATATCATATTTTTATTTTTTAATAAGCTTTTAACAATAACGCAAATATTTAACTTCAGACTTTAATCAAACGAACAAAATTAATCTTCTTAACTTTTTAATTTAAATAGTTTTAAAATAGTTGGTGTTGTTTTAATCTTTGGTCGAATTTAAATAATGAAATCGTAAATTTGACAAAGTGTATAGCCTAATGTTTTGTCACTTAACTTTGTCCGCAAATGGTTACAAAAGTAACCCGATTAAGAGAACACTCACTGGTCGGAGAATAGACCTTAGGCTATCGTACGCAATTTTTATATATTTTCCTCTTGAACCGCCATTCTCAAATTACGCCATTTCTATTTTTACCCATGTATCAATGTCTCCATCCGTTGGTCTGGAAGTATTATCCAGAGCCTGTGGTTTCTTTTGTATTTCAATTTCAAATTGTCTCGTAAGCGGCAGTGTGTCTTCAAGTTCATCATGCTCAGATCCAAGATGTTTAATTTCATTGTTCGTAGATATTTCCAACGAGGAATCCGCTGTCGGACCAAGCTTTTAAATATCCACGATATGTTTTCGCATCTGGTCGCAATCTGGCCTTATAAATGCGTCCAAGTAGTCACTGGAATGTGCATACTTGAAATGAGAGTGAAGGCCTAAAGTTGTACCTCCAAATGTATTAAGTATCTTGTTACATCTAATATTGCCAAACTGATGTATTTGTTTCCGATAGTTTCATATGCTTATCATATGCTTAATTTAGGTTTATTTTTTTCAGGGTCCCCCATTTCTTTCTATCAACCTGAAAGGAAAATAAATCATTTAACAAAAAAATTATTAATTCAATCGAATTGGTTTGACGTGTAAAACTAAAAAAAAAATGTTTTAATGTTTGGCTAGGTATGGTACAGACAAACTGGGACATTCAGCCTGAGACAAAATAGCTCGAATATCAATTATGAGGTGAATATAAATTATTAATATTGTTATCACAAAAATAGAAGTAACATAATTCTTTCTGTGTCTTAAACGTTAGGTACGGATTTACTCATGTTTAAATATGTCGGTTTGTTGGCATAATTTTAAAAGAAATAACGCAATCAAACATTTTTTAAATTACAATTTGACCTCGTGATTTCAGTGCAACGTGTTATTATTTCCATACAAACTCTTAATGGAAGTCAAAATTCGATCTTCATTCGACTATACCAAT